CTATCCGGTCGAAGACGCTTACTGACCTCTGGTCATGTTGTGGAAAGTTGTCCCCCAAGAGTGGTTCTGATGGGTGGCTCTCCTGCATATAAGATGTTGCTTCGGTGTTATCCTCTCTTTCGAGAGGACGTTCGGTGTGCCGGCTCATATGGCCTCGAGAATGAGACAAAGGGATTTCCTGTACCGGATACGATCCTTGGGGCATCTGGTGTCCCTGAGCTTGCATGAAAAGTTCCCGCATCGCCATATTCTGAGCTGCTATGTCTCTCATGCCTGCAGCTTTCTGGGCCATTCCTTCGGTGAGTACGGCTGTTCTTTCACCTCGTCGACGCCGGTGATGCGGTCTCTGATGAGTAACATTGTTATGAAGTACTTCCTCCTCAGAGGCCTCTCTGATGGGGTTGTCTTCACGGCTGTAGCTCATCCTACCTCTTCTTTCAAGGATAGTAAGAACTTGGATTGTAACTTGACTTTTATTCTTTTTCAAGAATGCCGCCCTTTTCAGGGTCAGTCGCCGGTTTTCCGGTGGCTCCCCCGACGGGGAATGTAGGACTTTGAATGGGGAATGACGTTTCCCACAGACGGCGCCAAACTATTGACCTTTAAAAATGGCTCTTCCAGGTGGCCAACTTGTAGCTACTCCACGTATTCCTCCCTACGAAATGAACAAACTGTCAGGCGCACACGGCCGGAACCAACGGTGGTGGCGGCCGTATACACTCCGACGGTCAAGTCAGGTTTGGGTGGTCGGAACAGTGTCCAGGGACTACACAAATCAACCAGTCAATAAAGGGGGAGGAGAATATATAAACTTGTTATGGAGTGCTATCTATTGAGAGTTTCATTACCTTTGCCTCTGGCCAATCTTTGGGTATTTATAGGTGGTATGAACCGTGGGATGTGGAACACGTGTATACATCTGACGGTATGAAGCGTCTGCTCATAGGCGTCAATCAGCCGCGCTTGTAGAGTGGGCGGACAGTTTGTTTCCCCCGAGTTGAATTGACATAAAGTTGATAAGTCACATCAAATAGCTTTATGAGGGACGTCACATCAATTTAAACCTTATATGCAGAGCAAATCTTAAATTGGCAGTGAATCTTCTAACGGGGTCGGAGACGGGACACTTCGGCAGATCAGTGACAGGAATTGGTGTATCACTTCGGAGAGGCTTCGGGAGGTCGGAGTGGTTCCGAGGCTCGTAAAATGAGGCGTAACAGAACTCATGAATGGTCATCTAGTACAATCAGCTCCTCACCTCACCTCACCTCACCTTGGGCAAAAGAATGAATAGGCCTCCTTTTGGCCCCCAGAGGCTTCTAAGTGCGTCTAAAACCTAGGTTAGCCTAGAAGGCTAAAACGTTATGTCCAAGGCCACAAACTGTCACTTGACTTGCAACGATCATACTTTTGAACCATTCTTTACACACCATATTATGCCCTTGTTTGATGGTCATTATTTTGGAAAAAATGAAAAATAATTTTTTTGGAAAACATGTGGCTAAAAAAGTAAGAAAAATATGGGTTTACGTGCAAAATATATTAGCCCTTGTTTGGACTCCTTTAAACAAAAAAAACATTTTTTAAAACTCATTTTCAACCACATAATCTTCACTAAAATAATATTTGATGTAAACCCAAATTTTTTCTTACTTTTTAACCCCATGTTCTCCAAAAAAAAAAAAAAATTACTTTTTCAAAATATATTTTTCCCAAAATCTCATAAAAATGGACCCCAAACAAGGGCTTATTATGTGAATGTAGTTGAAAATAAATATGAGAATTATGGAGTTTTATTTTAAAGAGAGACAAACTGAGGTTATGTCCATTTTAATTTTGTAACACTAAAATGTTTTCAAGACCCAATGTGAGTCACAACATTTTCTTACATATGAAACATCCCTTCCATAAAATTTTTGGCGATTTTAGAGACTTCCACCTTACAAAAGAATTATACACATAAAAGGATCTGAATTACCAAAAGTATTAACACATTTTGAACTAATTTGTATCTATGAAGTTTGGAAGCTATTAGAAAGTTAATTATCGATTAACTAATTTCAAGGTATTAAAGTAGTTGTAAATTTTATTAACAAACCGTATATCTTTCTTAAGAATTTAAGAAAGTACATTTATTTCAATATATAATTCTTATAAAACCCATGTCTTCATGTAACACCTAGAAATATTAACGTTAATATTTCGGTAAACACATTCGCTTTTATCATTACTCAACATATAGGTTCAGTTGAGTCATCCTAAAGCTTGCCACCCTTCATAAATCATCGTACTATACTAATCTGAAAAGTAAACATAAAACGAGAAGAATAATAGCTATGTGAGTAGAATTGTATGTGTGTATGTATGTTCGTGTATATATGACATGATTTATTCTTAATATCGAGCCCTGTGAACTATAACCATTATACAATATCAGAGTAACTATAAGAATAATTAGAGATGTCAAATAAGCCGAATGAACTGTTTGGCTTGAGGGACGAGTCGGAGCACAGGCAAGTGGGCTGACTTACACACGAGCGAGCGGGCTGACTTACCCATGGGCCAGCGGCTCGTGAGCCACGGGCAACTCGTGAAGTGAGCTCACGAACCTGTCTCATTGGTTGCCTCTACAGTGACCGGTTTGGGAACATTTTGAACGTTGCCGAACTTACAAAAGTGGCGAACGCCCGCTTTATTTAGTTTTTTTATTTTTTACTTTCTAAATACTCCAACATATTTCCAAATTTTTTTACACACCAACAACAATTTCCACTCTTCTCCACATTCTACAATCTACTGCATTAACTTCTACTTTCAATTTCAATTATTCAATCATTCAATATCAATTACCACACTACAAATTTACAATTATAATCCTAGTTACACATAAACTTTCTTTGAATTCTTAATTTCTTTCCATACTCTTTATTTACTTACTAGTTACAATACTATACAAATTACATTACATATTTTATACATTTCCTTACCATTCACAAATGGATTCACACTTATTTGTTGAGGGATTGTTTGGTATAAAAGGCAAATCACATATGACACCACAAAGTCAATTTCAAAATGAATTTGTTGATCTCAACGAAGTACTTGTTTTCGAAAATATTCCAAATTTGGAGGCTCATGAAAGTAGTAGTAATCCAATTTTTTTGGATGACGTTGATGTTCTTGAAGTCAAACAGGAGGAATTAAATATTCCCGATACAAGAAGGAAAAGAATAGGTAAAGTATTGGGATCACTTTAAATTGATTACAACGGGTCATGTGGTCGATGGAGTCGTACACTCTAAAATAGTAGGTAATTCTGTCAATAACAATTGACATAGCAAAATGACATTTGTACCACCCACCTTAACCGTAACTATAAAGCATGAGTGGCCAAACATGGTCTTCTTGATGCCTCTCAAACGCAATTGCAATTTGGTAGTCCAACCGTCAATTCTTCTTCTACGACACTTTGCATGTAGATGTATGTAGAGGAGAAAACTCAAACTAGAAGGTTGAAATTCATTGCTAGTGCTGAGTTGCCTCTAGCAATAGTGGATAACTAACATTTCGTGTCATACGTGAAAGAATATTTTCAACCGAAGTACGTTGGGGTAAGTGAAAATATACTTCGTTCCGATACAATAGAATATTTTCATAATACAAAAAAAATAATTGATTATTCATTTACAAATATATGGGGGTGTTTTAACTTTAAATTCGAATTTATGAGAATGAATTAATAAAAGAGGTTATTTATTATATAGCTGCAACTACATTCTTCACAGAGCCACTTTGGTGTATGCATAAAAAAAATTATCGCTTTTAAAACTATTGAATTCCCTCACAACACTAATGATAAATTTAGCATTGTAAATGTTAATGTGAGAGTAAAATTCGTTCATTTACATGTGACAATGCTAGTATTGATAATCTAGTTATCGATAAATTGTGTAGAGTACTGCAATCCGATTTTGGTGGTTATCTATTTCATATTCGTTGTGTGTGTGTTGTATTTTTATTTATTTGTGTGTGTGAATATATGTATACACACAAATATTTCACCGAGTAGAAAATAAGCCTATGAGGAATTTTATGTCGAATTTGAAGTGAAGAATACGAAAACATTTGTTAATGTGGTAGGACATATATGGAATCCCACTTACTTATTATTAAAATCATGCGAAGTTTTTGAACCATTAATAATTGGTTTTATAACAATAGGCATATTAGAAATGATGATGACACTATTTTGAATGAATCTGATTGAGTTTTAGCTTTTAAAATTTTAAGAAAAAAATTAACAAGTTTTTGTTACTCTACAAATATTTTATTTTGAGTGTATTATCCCACTAACTGTATGGTACTTGAACCTTTTTATATAATTGCAAGATCTTTTAATAAATACAAAAATGATCTTGATTTTAGTGAAATTACATATTTTAGGGAATTAAAATTTAGAAAATATTGGAATGACTTGCCTATTTATTTTCTTTAACATGCATCATAAACCCCGATACAATTTATCAGGTATTAAATATTTAATTGATCAGATTTCAAAAAATTTAATTTTTAATACACCTATCACTTATAAAAATTTAGAATAAACTTTATGTGAAATGTATGACTTATATGCAGAACGAATTGGTACAAATATTAAACCCGTTCACTTTGATCATTACTCAACATATAGGTTCGATTGAGTCATCCTAAAGCTTACTAAACTTCATAGATCATCGTACTATATTTGAAAAGTAAACATTAAATGAGAATGAATAATAGCTATGTGAGTAGAATTGAACATATGTATACATGACTTATTCTTAATATTGGCCCTCGAGTAATAAATCGAGCATAAGTTCGATTGTTCCAAACGAGCTACGAGCTCGGCTGAGTCCATTGCCACCTCTAAGCATAATTATAAGGTCTCATGATTTTACTATTGGATTCATGATAAGTGTATTTCACACACTTATCTAGGATCTTAAAATTACTTGTTAAATCCAAATTATAATTAGCAATTTTCAAATTTGTAATTGTCAATTTTCTTAGTCAAAATCAAATCCTAATTGAATTATATTAGGAGTATATTGAGTTGCAGTCAAAGTCATAGTAGGATTTACTGAGTCTTTGCAAATATTAAAATTAGTTTGGGTTGATTGATAGAGTCCAAAAAAGTCAAAGAAATACATCAAGAAGATCAAGATTTGGACTTCAAGAAGTAAAGCAAGAAATGGACTCAGAACTGTTCACTGGTTGCCCTGTTGGGGCTCGAGCGTTCAAAAGAGGGTCATC